ATATATATATATATATATATATATATATATATGGATCCTCATATATTTCTGGTAGGAATGTAAAATGGTGTAGCCACTGTGAAAAAGTTTGGTAATTTCTCAAAATATTAAACATAAAGTTAGTTGCTATATGACCCAGAAATTCTACTTTGGATAGTTTCAAAGGTATATATCCAAGAGAAATGAAAACATATGTCCACACAAACACCTGTAAACAAATATTCATAGCAGCATTATTTATAATAGCCAAAAGGTAGAAAAAACCCAAAGTCCATAATGAATAAACAAAATGTGGTCTATTTGTACCATGGAATATTGTTCAGCCATAAAAAGGAATGAAATACTGATAAATGCTACGATATAGATGAACCTTGAAAACATGCTGAGTAAAAAAAGACAGTCACAAACAGCCACATATTGTATAATTCCAATTACATGAAATGTCCAAAATAGGAAAATCTATATAGAGACAGAAAGTAGATTACTAGTTGCTTAGGGATGGAGGGGTTAAGGGAATGGGAGAGACTGCTAATGGGTATAGAGTTTCTTTTTCATGTGATGGAAATGTCCTAAAATTGATTGTGGTGATGGTTGCATAACTCTATGAATATGCAAACAAATGAGAAAGATCTGTATTTTAACATACATTGTTGGGCATAAAAATCATGTTTCAGAATAGTATACTCTCCTCTATAAGACATACAAGATCAGACAATTAAGTTCGCAAACTTTCCACCATGTAAGTGCCTACATATCCTGCGTTGGGACAGAAATTGTTTATGTATTGCCTGGATGAAAGATTCACACCTAGTGAACCCAGGGTCCAAAATGCAAAAGGTACAGCCTCCCTTCCCCCCAGCTCTCCTCCCCGAAGCAACCAGAGACCTCTAACTCATCTAAATAGGTGTACGTTATACACGTGATTTTTTACTTAGTCTTAGTCTTGGAGACCAGTCCATAACTGTCTACACAGAGCCCCTCCTTTACTGTAGAGCTTCACAGTGCCCCACAATGGGGTCCCCATCATATGGGTGGCCACGCTCTATTAATCAGGCCCAAATAACAGACATTTAAATTACATCTGAACTTTTGCTTTTACAGGTCTCTTACCCAAACCACTAGGATCAGGTTTTTTTTAGAATTCAGATTACACACACACACACACACACTCATATTCATATTTATATTTCTTTTTTTTTTAAGATTTTTATTGGGGAATTGGGGGGATGGGAACAGTGCTGGGGAATCGGGCGAAGGGGAACAGACAAGTCGCTGTCGTTTTGTTCTTCAGTCTAGTTGTGGAGGATGTTGCTTCACTGGCCCAAGTTGGCACCATCATTGCGCTCTTCCCGGGTGAGGCACATCAGTC